CCCCCCAGCCACCCTCTGACACTTTAAGGTCTCCCAGCTTGTGCTTCATCACATCAGATTCCTCAGTCCCTCTCCACATCAGGGTCCTGAGTCCCAGTGGCGTCACAAGGGGGGTGCGGCCCGCGCATGGGTGACACCATTGGACACCAGAACTCAATGATATCATCAAACATGTCAATTTATTTGGACAAAACGTCACAGTAACAGCAAGCCAACGTTTCGGAACCACACAGGGTCCCTTCCTCAGGGCAGAAAAAGGAAGCCAGAAGGCACTCAGAGTGCTGCGGCACACTGGTTGAGAAACGCTGATGTAGAGAGCAGTGCTGACTCTCTGCACTATTGCACAGTGAATTTAGGACACCCCATTAAGGGGAGGGCCCATGATGTCTAGTTTGGGGGGGATGTTATTAACAAAAATAGCTTGCAGTTGGCCTTTAAGCCCGATGGCTTCTGGTATCCCATGTGGCGTCCAATGGCAAAGTTCCTAATGTCATAGTTTCTGGCTTTGCTCCTGCACACCTTGGAGTCTTACTCTTCCTGCTACAATCTATCACTCTATTGCAGTAACATGATATAAAAATCATTTTACAAATCTGATAATAAGAGCAGGATGCCCTTATAATGACCATAGAGAGTAATCAGACTAAGATTAGAATGCTGAAATATCAGTTCTGGGGGGACTGGCCTGTTATCACCTGTTCTAATGTAACCACAGCAATGCAAACTATGTGTCCTGTAGAACTGTATAGTGTCATCTCAGTGCTGCCACCTTGTGGTCATTGAGGGAACTACATAATGCTCCAAAAAACTATGACAAGAATGCGGTCTATAAATATCAGCTTGCAGCGGGTCACCCGACCAGTTTCAGTCAAGGCAACAAAGCAGACACATAAATCTCATGTCAGATTTCAGAAATGTACAGACCACGTTCCGGCACACGCTGCCTGGAATGGATTAAAGGTTCACTTTTATGACGCTACATTGTCAGGGACTTATAAAATAGCGATACATCCATACCATTTTTTCCAGACCGAGTACGAGTACCGATACTTTTCCTCCAGTGCTCGCCAATACTAGTTATCGATACCTTTTTTTTAGTGTCGTGACAGTTTTTCTAAAACAATGCAGACTAATGATTTTAGGACAGTGATGGAGCACCAGGGCCCGGTCCCAGCTGCAACCCTGGTAGTTCTGCCACTGACTTCAAGCTGTAGAGGGACGACAAATCTCAGTAATACATTATATAGCAATGCAGAATGGCAGCGGCTATAGAGATCTACAAATCCCAGCAATACATTACACAGCAATGCAAAATAAAACCATCAGCAATAGAGGGACTACAAATCTCAGCAATACATTATACAGCAATGCAGAATGGCAGCGACTATAGAGGTCTATAAATCCCAACAATACATTACACAGCAATGCAGAATAAAACCATCAGCAATAGAGGGACTACAAATCTCAGTAATACATTATACAGCAATGCAGAATGGCATCGGCTATAGAGGTCTATAAATCCCAACAATACATTACACAGCAATGCAAAATAAAGCACAGGACAGAAACAGTAGAAACATATTTCTAAAGTAGTTTAGGTGCAGTATTGCTGCACTATACATGTACGTAGATGACATACATGACATGCTGTCGCTCTGCTTCAGGTTGCTGTCCTGATGTCTCCGGGCAGAGGGTGTCAGGAGGGGGAGATGTGGGGGCGGTGGAAGCGCTGTATGCAGAGGCACCGTGTGGTTCCCAAGAAGGCTGTTGTGAGGTCCCCAGCATGCGCAGTTTTGAATGCAGAAACGCAAAGGTTTAAAGTGTAATGTCAAGCTCATTTTATTTTTCATGTTTTAGATTTGTATCAGGGGAATAAAAATCTGACAGGGGTTCTAGCCTCCCCCAATTTACTAAAGAAAAACATTTTTATTTGTCCATGTAGCTAGTAAAACGTTCCCCTCACTTCCTGTTATTTGTAAAACATTATCATCAATGTTGATAGTACATTCTATGGAAGGTTGCATTGTACCAGGGTATTGATAGTACATTGTAGAGGAGGTTACATTGTATTAGGGAACTGATAGAACATTGTAGAGGAGGTTACATTGTATTAGGGAACTGATAGAACATTGTAGAGGAGGTTACATTGTAGCAGAGTATTGATAGTACATTCTATGGAAGGTTGCATTGTATCAGGGTATTGATAGTACATTGTAGAGGAGGTTACATTGTGGCAGAGAAATGATAGTACATTGTAGAGGAGGTTACATTGTAGCAGAGGATTGATAGTACATTCTATGGAAGGTTGCATTGTATCAGGGTATTGATAGTACATTGTAGAGGAGGTTACATTGTGGCAGAGAACTGATAGTACATTGTAGAAGAGGTTACATTGTAGCAGAGAAATGATAGTACATTGTAGAGGAGGTTACATTGTAGCAGAGGATTGATAGAACATTCCATGGAAGGTTAAATTGTAGCAGAGAAATGATAGTACATTCTATGGAAGGTTACATTGTATCAGGGTATTGATAGTACATTGTAGAGGAGGTTACATTGTAGCAGAGAATTGATAGTACATTGTAGAAGAGGTTAAATTGTAGCAGAGAAATGATAGTACATTCTATGGAAGGTTACATTGTATCAGGGTATTGATAGTACATTGTAGAGGAGGTTACATTGTAGCAGAGGATTGATAGAACATTCCATGGAAGGTTACATTGTAGCAGAGGATTGATAGAACATTCCATGGAAGGTTACATTGTAGCAGAGGATTGATAGAACATTCCATGGAAGGTTACATTGTAGCAGAGGATTGATAGAACATTCCATGGAAGGTTACATTGTAGCAGTGTTGTTCTACCACTAGATGGCGCTGTCGCTCTCGCAGCGGAAACTTCCATGCCCCGCAGAGTAGTCATTTCAGCCCAGTACACAGGGAACTCCACATGGGAATGTTTTCAATCACTCCGCCTGAGCTGTTTGGAAATATACAACTTGCTAAAAACAAATACAAACAGAAAGAAGAATCTGCAGCATTACAATGACTCAAACCAAGGAAAGACATTTATATAATAACCAGCAGAGCACTAGAGAAGTCTTCACTTGTATGTACAGTATATGTCTTATAAAAAAAAAAGGCCTGCTCATTATGGGTTTATATATGTGTGTGTAAATCTTCTTTTTTTTAAATCAGATCGTTTTTATTAAACAGTTTTGTAAACAGTCAATAACATAAATCAACAGACAAACAAAAAACAAACATCACCAAGTATCGATTAAAATAGCGATACATCCATACCATTTTTTCCAGACCGAGTACGAGTACCGATACTTTTCCTCCAGTGCTCGCCAATACTAGTTATCGATACCTTTTTTTTAGTGTCGTGACAGTTTTTCTAAAACAATGCAGACTAATGATTTTAGGACAGTGATGGAGCACCAGGGCCCGGTCC